TCAGTCTCTCCCCTCCACTTCCAGTTTTCTCATGTCATGTTTCCCTACCCCCTTCCTCTTCCCATCATGACTGGGAGAGAACCCCAGTATCACTGCCCAGCTCTGTGTGGGTATGAGCAAATGGGCCTTGGGGTGGAGCTGGCACCACAGTTACCATCTTTTCCTCTCATCCCCCCACCCAGGGCCCCTGAGAGCCCACCTGTCCCCCAGTCCCCTACTGGGCAGGCCAGGCTGGAGTAAGTACAGATGCCAGCCTGCCATGTGCTCAGGGCTTCAGCATTGCTTCCCCCAGCAGGGATTCCACTGCCTAATGCAGCCAGAGCTGGGGGACTTTCAGACCTGTCCTCTCCCAGACCTAAGTCTCCTCAGTAATCCAAGGACTAAGCACTGGGAAGCAGCTCACTTGGGTCATAGTGGTCCCTGTGCTTCAACTGTGACACCTTAACAGCTTGTACCAGAGACTGGGATGTGGACATTTAACCTCAGGCCCATTTTCCTATATCCTTGGCTCAAGAATAGGACAGGGAGGGGATCTAGGGGGCTCTGTGGTGTGGGGGGTGGAGAAGCAACCTAAGGCTGAGGGAAGGGCAGGGTCTGAGGGTGAACAGAGGCTGGAAGAACCAAAAAAGACACTGAATCCCATTCATTATTTCAACATGAACTGAGTACCCATCATTTACCAGGCCATTTTTCTGGGCATAGTCCATAGCTCTTAGAAGCTATCAGATAGCCAAGGGAGGGACAGCCTGATGTGCCCATTTTGGGACAGCTGTCCCCTTCTCCTGCTCTAAGTGTCTTTGTCTAATCAGGACAGTGATCATGAACAGCAGCAAGGGTGCAATTTAGATGTTAAGTAGAACTTTTCCTTGTATTGTCACCTGGAATGCTGGGTTGATAGTAACTCTCTCCAGATGTGGGTGGCTGAAGGGGGCTGGCCTTGAGGGGGCAGAGTCTGGGTCTGCTCAGCGCATGGACTATTCCCTGTGTGTCTGTGTGCCTGCAATTGGGGGCAGCATCCAGGGGCTCAGCAAGGCATGTGCATCTGGGCTGGGGCTGTGTCAGACACTATCACTGACAAGCACCTTCCCTCAGAGCCCGATTCCTAGAGAATGTGGCAGCAGCAGAAACAGAGAAGCAGGCTGCGCTGGCTCAGGGCCGGGCAGAGGCACTGGCTGGGGCCATGCCTGATGAGGCTGATGGACACCCAGGTGAGTATGTGGGTGAGCAGAATCTACCCTGTAGCTCTGTTGCCCCACAAAGGGTATGATGCTAACAGTTGCTTCCTTTCTGTAGATGCAGAGACAGCCTCTGCACCCAGAACACCCCAGAGTCCTGCCCCCCAAGTCCTGCTCCAAGCTCAGTGGAGCCTTGAGCCAGAGCAGGAACCATTGGCACCACCAAGCCCCAAGGCTGAGCCCATCTGCGAGCCTCGGACCCGTGTACCCAAGCTCTGTATTGGGGACCTGGACTTCTCAGATCTGGGGGAGGATGAAGACCAGGACATGCTGAATATAGAGTCTGTGGGAGCTGGGAAAGGAGTCCCACCCCCACCACCCCC